GGTGGTGGGGAGCGATAGAAGCTAAAATCAAAATTCTGATCAGAAGGAAGATCTAGTGTTTTGGGTTACAAAAACATTCAGTGTTAAGGGGTAATGTGTTTGTGCAGCAACTTAGATAGATAAACCAAAACCAACGACTATTTCGGACAAGCCCTCCCATTTACCATTAAGACACGGCTTTCTAAAAATGCATTTTTTTTACATTTTTATCCCAATTTTCCATTATCCTTAAGGAGAAGTTTTCCATGAAGATAGGATGACCTAAAGATATGGTATTTTGGTTTCTTTCGGCAATTCCAAGTAACCAATAATTTAAGGTCGCATTATCCCGAGAATGCAAACAATGTCAGATATTTACCTTTTATATATTTGTATTATGTGTGATTATTTTCTGGTGCTGATAATAATAGTGGCCACCTTAGTAAGCACCAGCTTGGCCCTCTGATTCATCGAGAATCGTTTCCCATACCCATGGGGTCATGACAGCCATGTTTGAGTAAACCCCAAATTTGTGAGGCCTAGCACACCCATGACCCCACGATACTACCCCTGTCAGGAAGTACTTCCTAGCCTATGTGTATGTGGGGTGGTTTAGATTGTTACAGGAGCTTAGTAGAAATTAAGTAGAATAGAATGCTGCAGTAGAACTTTATATAAGTAATTTATATAACGTAAGTAGAACATTTGTAGAACTTTATGAATATTATGGAGGTTTAATAGAAATTTCTTGAATTTTGCTGAAGTTTGTAGAGATTTACATAACGTATGGTAGAATTTTGCAGATGCATGGCTTTTTTTGTCAAGTATTTCTTTTTTTTTTTTAGTATTCAGTGTATTTTTGTAGGTTGGAGCCGTTCTGATAAACATAATTATGCTTCCTCAACCAAAAGAAATTTCATGATCTTCCAAGCTTTCGAACTAACTAGTCCATCATCAGGGAAAAAATCATATGGCATTTAAGGTGGCTTCATAGGGCTTTGAGGCAGTACCAAACAACAGGAAACAGCATTCTAAGGCCAATACAGACTAACATATCATCAGGCGATAGGCCAACCATATTAAAGTTCATGAGTTTAGGAATCATTTTTAATGAAATTGATCACGTATAACGTAACCATAGCAACACAACGTCAGCTATTAAGAAGGTAATTTTTACAATTAAAAAAAATAATTTTTTTTAAAACATTGTACAATTAATGTTCATTTGGTTACCTTTCATGTGAGAGAGACTTAAAAGATTCGGTAGTACAGAATTTAAAATAACGCAAAAATTTGATTTTGCTGGATAAAATTTTTTCCACACTATCGAATCCGTTGATATTTTGTCAATCACTTTAACATTGCACAATAAAAAATCCCTGCAATTTTGAGAATCTTTCACCGTACGATTTTTAAGTTTTTTGCCAATAAAGATAACGCATGTCAGAACTTTTTGTGACGTCATCAAAATAAAAATTCTTCAAGTTGCGGTATTGCGCATGCTCGCGCGCGCGCGCTCAACAAGTTTTAAGGTGACTGCCTACTTTTGAACGTTCGATATGAGCCCACGATGAGCGCGCACAAAAACCGCTGAATAAAATACAAAATTTTATTGAGGAACCATACACGTTTTGAGCTTCAACAGGGCAAAACCCTCAAATTTTGCAAGGGACTCTATGCTTTTTATAAGCTTACTTGAAAAAACTTCTAAAAATCTAAATATATCAATTTTTTTTAAAAAGTTAATTTTTCTAAAAATAGAGTTTTGTAGGAATTTTTGCTCGACTTTGTGACAGTCTTGAGAGCATTGAACCGTACCTCAAGCGTGAACCCCCCCCACCCCACCCTCCTAGTAGAGTTCATTAACATTTGACTTCATTCTTCCAGTTGATTTGTAATCTAGGTGCGCAATGCATTGTTCGTCCAATGACGTAAAAAAACTTTTTTTTTCAACACTGGTAGCCGAAGCTATGTACGTGTGTGCTTTAAAGAGCTGATGTGCAAAGAAAATTAATTATTTAAAAAATTTACAATAAATCACATTTTTTTAAATAAACCATTATTATTCTTTTTAATCATAACTGCTTGTTCTCTGTTACTTCTTTTAAGGGAAGGTTTGGAGTCGTTTGATCTCAACTTGATCAGCGAGGTATGGCCGTTTGAATTTCAGCACATGTCTCAAACCTTTAACACGAAGTATAAGGTTGGCAAAGCAACTAAAGGCCCAGTCGACTCAATTCGAAACCAAATATATCGCTCCAGCTCGAATCCATGCATGAACATTTTTTTCTACCAGAACCTGTTTCTCCGAAAATTTCCATTATTAACTTTCATGGTGTTTTTGCTTGGTTATTTTGGTCTCAATATTGCTGATTTATAATCCCTCCACGCCATCCATTAACAGCATAGGCACAGAACTTTGACAATCAGCAGTGTCCCGATACCCGGGATCTTTGACGAGATGATTTGCTTCTTCGGTTTCCAATCCGGAGGACTTTTTACAGGGTGAAAGGAGTCTGGAGCGAGGACATTGGAATATAAATATTGTCCCGTTGACGGGGTCATTTGCTCTGTTTTACTGGCAGATTCATCCAAGTCCCCACCTGTGCCCGAGTTAGGGGGCGGGGATTTACATTGACGCTTGGTGTAAGCTCATGAAATTATCACGCCAAAAGATCGTAGTAGGGAGGGGTACCTTGTAGCTTTTATTAAACTATTTTGGAGCCTCTAAAATACATAGAAGATTACAAGTTATAGCAATCACTTTTATAATTCACTGATATCTCATTTCTTTTTGAAACTATTAAAGACTTATTCCACAATTTAAATTGTTTTCGAATTCTCTGGGATGGAAAATCATAGACCTTACCCTACCCCAATAAGGCTACGCACTTACGCACCAATTTTTCCCCTCGGGGTAACGTTAACAAGTTGTGCATGTTCACTTCGCGCTGATTGGCTAGTTGCTTCTCGAGGCATTTGTTAGAAAGATATTTGGCAAATCTTTGCACGGATGAGTTTTATTTTGTTTGTTTTTGAGTAAGAAATGCTGTTTATCGAGCTAAAAACATGGAACTAGGAAATATTGAGCTGGGGACAAACTGTACGCTGATTGGCTAATTTTACTGGGCCAAATCACCTGGTTGGAATCTTGATTTGATTCTTCGATTCGAATATTCATATTTGACGGAAAACGAAGTATTACAGTCAAAACAGCTCAAGCGTGCCTCCTTAGAGTCGATCATTGAGTTCATTATTCGAATATTGAGTTCGTTATTCATTCTTACTCCAAACTTGAAAATACATTATCTACCTGAGTTTTGGTTGGATTCTTCAACAATTCTCACGACAAGGTAGAAAAACTACCCAGAAAGGCCACCACTTAGAATTTTAGCTGGTAAATGAGTGTAAAGAAAGAGTTTTCTTATTTATTGAGAAAACTCAAACTGAATAAAGAACTCAATATTCGAATAATAATTCATTAATTGACTCTAGTGGTAAATTATGCGTTCGGTGTGTATATAATGAAGTAGAGAGAATAAGAGAAAAATATCAAATGCCCTTGGCAGGATTCGAACCCACGTCTTCGGTATTCTAGTCCGATGTGTTAACCACTACACTACAAGGACCAACCACGCTGAGAACGCAGCCAGAATATGAAATGTAGGGTATTCGTGAGGATCCCAGAGCGATATTTTTTCTCTATAGATAAGTT